ACGCACGGTGGCAGCAGCAGCAGGACCAGTCACGGGCCGGTTCAAAGGCCTCGAGGGGCCGGGTTCGGCCCCCAGGCCGTAATTTGCTGACCCCTGTACTAACCAGTGCTGACCCTGCTAAGCCTCCCATCCTTTAGAAGAAGAGAAGGTGTGGAGCTAGAAGCACGTAGAGGAAGGAGTTGTAGTGCCCAGGTGCATGGTTATGAGAGAAGAGGAGGCACCCAAAGATTTTGTTAGAAGGGCAGTATCAGATAAAAGTAATACAATCCAGATACTGGAAATACGCATCCTGGCTGAGTTGGTATTCCAGAAAAGAAGTTAAGCAAGAGCTTTTTTCTGGCTCCAATACTTCCTACAGGGAAAGACCAAACTTCAGCAGTTGAACCCAAGTGCCGCATGCAGAAGGGCTTACTCTCCAGCTAGAGGCCTGTCTGAAATTCCTGGAGTGCCATTATCAGTCAGAGTAGACAATACTGAACTTGATGCACCAATAGACATGTGTGTGTGTGTGCCTTCAAGGTGCCTGTTGACTTATAGCAACCCCATATTTTCATAGGGTTTTCTTGGGCCAGGAACACTCAGAGGTGGTTTTGCCAGTTCCTTCCTCTGAAATATAGACTACAGCAACTGGTTTTCCTTGGTGGTCTCCCATCCAAGTACTAACCGGGGCTGACTTTGCTTACCTTCCAAGATCAGTCAGGATCTGCTGCCTTTAGGGTATTTAGGCATACCAATAGAGTTACTACTGAGTAAATATTTGCTCCTGAGAGGCAGTATTGCATAGTGGTTTGAGTGTTGGACTGCGATTCTGGAGACCAGGGTTCAATTCCTAACTCGGTCACGAAACCCATTGGGTGACCTTGGGCAAGTCACATTCTCTCCGCCTCAGGGTAAGGCAATGACAAGCCTCCTCTGAACAAATCTTGTCAAGAAAACCCTGTGATAGGTTTGCTTTAGGGTGGCCATAAGTTGGAAACGACTTGAAGGCATGCAACAACAACAACAATGGAGGGGGGGATCAGAAAGATATTGGGTCTTCTTACTATAATAGGAAATGATGTATGCTTTGTTTCTAATAATGAGGGAGAGAGAGGGAGGATGGGGGAAAGATTGCTTTTTTAAAGCCACAAATCTGATATGGCTGATGCAGCGAAGTCTTGTCCCTTCCCCATAACTCCGCTGGACTCTTCTTACAAAATCTGCTTCAGAGGATCCTCCAGCTCTCTGGCAGAGATTTTGAGGTTCCCTGGAGCAGGAGTTGCTAGAAGGGATATCACACCCACCTTGTTCTGCTGACAGAAGCTAGAGCTGATGCGAAAAACAGAGCACCAGCCCCTGGCCCAGGAAGGCACAGAAAAACAAATGTTGCCCTCATCCATATCTGTCAAGGCGCACAGTACACAGTACTCCAAGGTAGCTGAACATAGCATTGCAGCCTTAGCTACCATATAGGCCAACTTCAAACAATCCAAAGAGGAGGTGATAAAGCTCAGGGACTGTAACATTTCAGAGGCGAAGGAGTTGGAAGTAGCACCACAACCAGCAGAAGAGAAAGGCCAAGTTACCCTGAGTTTTCAATGACCAAAAGAGGTGGAAGGGCCATTTTATTCTTTCTTTTTTTCCGTTTTGAATTTTGAGAAGTATTCTGTCAAGTTAGCATGCATGGTATAGTGGTTTGAGTGTTGGACATCAACTCTGGAGCTGTTGTTGTTGTTATTGTTATGTAAACCCACTGGGTGACCTTGGGCAAGTCACACTCTCTCAGCCTTAGAGAGAAAATGAGGTTGGCATTTCTGACTTATGGCAACCCTAAGGTGAACCTATCAAAAGGGGCTTTTGGCACATTTTTTTCAGAATAAGTTTCCTGTTGCCATCTTCCGAACTGAGCGATTGCGACTTGCCCAAGGTCACCCATTGGGTTTTCTTGGTTGAGCTGGGATTCAAACCCTGGTCTCCAGGAGTCCTAGTCAAACACTCAGACTACTACACTACACCACACAGACCAGGATTCAAATCCCTGCTCAGCAATGGAACCCCCCTGGGTGAACTTAGCCAGGTCACACTCTCTCAGCCTCAGAGGAGGGCAATAGCAAACCCCCTCTGAAAAAAGAAAACCTTGTTGAGAAAACCCTGTGATAGGGTTGCTATGTCACGAACTATTTGAAGGTGCACAGCAACCACAACTCTATCATGGTACACCCCCAGGGCCAGCCCATTAAGCAAAAAAGTGAGGCAGCTGCTTCAGGCAGCAGAGCCTGAGGACAGCAGAGTACTGTGTGTGTTTCATGACCTGCATGGCATAGTGGCTTGAATCTCAGATTGGCCAGGTAAACCCACTGGATGACTTTGGGCAAGTCACACTCTCTCAGCCTCAGAGAATGGCATTGGCAACCCCCTCTGAAGAAACGTGCCAAGAAAAACCCATGACAGGATTGCCTTAGGATTGCCATAAGTCAGAAACGACTTGAAGGCACACAACAACAACAAAGGCTGGTGTTAGGCTAGGGGTACTGGACAATTTGTGACCAATGCCAGTGTTAAAGCAAGATGCAACTGACAGTGTAGTTGTGCTTTGTATGTAGAAAGAGGTGGAAGGGCCAGGAAGCAAAATATCCTGGACAGGCCCTGGGCATATCCCCCATTCTTCAGAGTAAAACCTTTTGAAAACTACCTTCTGAGAGGAAGGTCTGTGGCTGTTACCACTTAATATTCCTTCAGCTAAATTAAATAAAAGCCCACCATTTCTGACTTTGCATTTTCTTTCCCGCACCAAGCCAGAGAAACCCCCTAATGCTGTCAGCTGGCTCTCTACTCTCCATAGTGCCCTTCCTTTTATCCGACTGGCTTCATTTTCACATTTGGTAGTAATTACCTCTCTCCCCATAAACAAACCCACAATCTGACCCCAACAGTCAGCTACATCTAGGCTTGACCCAAGACATCTTGCAACCAGAGACACAGGAGCAGATAATGCCCTTCCTCCCCCTTATGGAAGTCAAAGTGCATATCACCCAATAGGCACATTTTTTTGGTATGAGCGGGGGGGGGGGAACCCTACAAGTGTTTCTCCTCATTGCTGGCAATAAAAATACAATAATAAAAAAGCAAATCACTAGCAGCCCACTCAGAATACTCAACATTTATTGGTGTTTCACAGTTATTGAGATGTGCATACTTTAGGAGCTCTCCCAAAATTAAATGCTTGCAGTGGAACAACAAGATGATTCCAATTTTGCTGATTTGGGACTGACTCAAAACATGGTCTGGGATTGGCTGTGTCCATGCAAAATACAGTACTATAGCTTTATACTTGCTCAAAACCTTATGAATGGCTTTCTCACACACATCATATTAGGAAGCAGCTGAGAATAGGTCACCCTGACCTGGGCTGGCAAAGCTTTTTGAAAATATATCTGTACGCACACGTTGGGATTGTCACATAACACAACACAGGCCCAAGGATAGAAGTTTCCATTACAAGACAGCAATGGCAGCTCTCAGATTATCAGGATTACCAGGAACAAAACAACAGTAAATAAATCATTCACCCTGCCACACCATCTGTTTATTTGTGGCTGGTGAGATTTGTTTCCATAAACATTTACACACTTGTCTGTCAACCGATTAAAGAATGCTTAGCTTATCAATTATCTGCCTTTTCTCTGTTGAACAAATCAATTGATTAGATTGCTGTGAATTTACAGATATCACTAAAGCTAGTTTTTTGGCGGCAACTGCCAGAATTCCTCAATTTATTTCAGTTGCTGCAAACTGAATTCAATTGCTACAAAGTGATTTTGCTTGGCCACATTGTGTCCTGTTTCATCTATGAAATGTTGGAAGGTTCGGTTGTCATCCAGAAAGTAATTTTTCCAAATTCTCCCCAGAATCAAACCATACCAAACCAAACCCCAGTATGGCTGTCTTTCAAAGGAATTGAGTTTTCTGGTTCCAAATATCAAATAATCTTTTGCTGAGGAAAAAAAATATTGAAAATCTATTGGTCAGCCTTTCCTTAACCCAGTACCCTCTTAGGGGTTTTGTTTCAATGGAGTGTCCATGGTAGCTGGTCAATTTTGGTAGCTCAAAGAAGTAGCTTTTCCAAGCTTTGATACATGCCAGGGGTATATTTTCCTTTGCTTAAAGGAAGGATAGAAGGGTGCATGTAGGGTTGCCATATCCTGGTTTTTGCCGGGACATTCATGGTTTTTAACCATGCCTTGCTAGGCCTTGCTGGGGTTGGGGAGGTTCACGGTAGGGCCTCCACTGCCACCTGCCATGCAGGGGCTCAGCCGGCTGGCTGGGCCCTGAGGAAATGGAGGGAGGACTGTGGAGGTGCTGGAGGATGGCGAAGGTGCCGGGTTCAGGCAGGTGAGCCTAGTAGGCCTCACTGGGAGCTGGGGAGGATTGGGGTTGCCTCTGCTGCCTTGG